GTCCACCCAAACAACACATGCCTGCTGTCCACACCGGGGGAGTGACAGAGTGACCAAGAAAGCTGGCCCTGAGGCCCAGGCAGTGATGCTATAATGTCATGCTCTCCAAATGTGACAAGGGGCACACAACATATCAACAGGATCTGCAGAGGCTTCTGGGGGAGGTTTCCCCCATAACAAAGAAAGGGAGAAGTGGGCCTCTCCCTCCAGCCCCTGGAAGGATTTGAGTAAGGTTTGGAGCTTCAGCAGCTGCGGAAGCACTAAGGGACAAGCCCGGCGATGACGCCGACACTGAGGGTACAGCCCAAGTGCCCACCCACCAACAGCAGCATCAAGGGAAACTAGCCACACCTAGAAAGACACCAGTCTCACTGGGTAGGGAACCTAGAACTACCCAGCTGGCAGAGCAGGGTGGCATGGTGGGTCCTGGGGGGTAGAGTTCACAGATTTCTAGCCAAACAGAGGAAAAGTTCAAAAGATCTATTATACAGCACATGACAGTAGTTAATAACAACCTGGTATATTCTTGAAAATCTCTGTGTACATTCTGAGTGTTTTCAGACCCAAAAAGTAAGCACATAAGGTCATGGATATGCTAATTAGCTGAGTTCAGCCACCCCAAGATACATACATATTTCAAAACACCCCACTATATACCACAAATATTTATGATTTTTATTTTTCACTTTAAAAATACATAAATTTTCAAACCTGATATGGAGGTGCATGCCTGTAATCCCCGCACCCTGGAGGCTGAGGCAGGAAGTTCACCAGTTCAAACCCAGCCTGGGAACTTAGCGACTGAGCGAGACCAAAGTAAAAAATTTTACAAAGGACCAGAGATGTGCAAAGGCCCTGGGCTCAGTCCTCAGTACCACAGTGAATTGGGCAATAAACAGGCTCACTGGGGGCAGCGGAGAGAGGGCCGCCCTGCCCCCACACTGTACAGGAGTGCCCATCACACTGCCACCACCCCAGCCTGCTGTAGGACACCCCGGGTCCTTGCTGCCTGGGGTGAGCCCCACACCAAAGCTCATCCCCGGCCTCCAGCTGCTCTCCGGCTCAGCACGCCTCCACAAAATGTGGGGCGGGGAGACCCCAGCCCTGCTGATCTGAAGACAGTAGCAGAGACACTAAACGAGCCATTCCTCATAAATGCCCATACTGAAGGAAAACAGCGAGGGCTCAGCCAGAGGAAGCAACCTGCAGACCGGATGTAGGACCGTGAGTCTGCGACAGAGCTCCAGGGGAACGCTGTCCCCAGCCAAGCCTCCTCTGCGGGCTGCCGCCCCGCGGCCCCAGTACCTGTGGGCAGGAGGAGCCACGTGCGCACGGGACCTTGCGGAGATTTGACTGTGAGGCCTGGGGGGCCGCTCAGCAGTGAGCACTCCCCTGGCCTGCAGGACGCCGGGGTCCCATCCCAGCCCTGCCCGTGTGTGTGTGTGTGTGTGTGTGTGTGTGTGTGTGTGTGTGTGTGTGTGTGTGTGTGTGTGTGTGTGTGTGTGTGTGTGTGTGTGTGTGTGTGTGTGTGTGCGTGTGTGCGCTCACACGTGTGTATGCATGTGTGGGCGCATGTATGCACATGCATGTGTATGTGTGTGTGCGCGTGTGTGTGTGTGCGTGCGTTCACGCACATGCGCTACTGTTGTTCTGCCTCAGCTCCTCTTGCAGCATCGCAGTCAGAAACTAGCCTGAGCGTGGATATGCTGTGTCCGTGGCCTGCCTGTCCTCCTGGTGAGTCCCAGGAACACGGGACACTGCGCCATGCTCCTTCTCTCTGCCCCTGACCTCACTGTGCCACACCATAGCGCCAACTCACAGGCCCTCCCGGGTTTGCACATGGCTCACGCCGAGCTCCAGTGCCCCCTCTGCACTGCCGCCAGTGCCTCACACCTCGCCTCTGGGGTCACAGGCGTAGAGCGAGCCCGGCTACGCCCTGACCAGCTGCAGGCCCTGGACAAGCCCTGTGAAGCCTCAGAATCCTACATGGGAGACCAAAAACTATGGCATGTGTTTAAGTCGTTTTGTTTATCGCAGTAAAGGACACATTGCCGTGAATCCCCCGCCACTTTCTGGGCAGCTCTGGAGTCCTCTTTTGTGTCTCTACCAGAAGCGACCAAAAAAATACGGTGACTGCCGCTGCCCAGCGCCACCAACACAAAGGCAGCTCGTGAGATACAGGGCATGGTGTCCTCGTCCCCTCTCTCACTGGAGCTGACACCGTGCGGCTCCGTGCTCTTCCCCAAAGTAGAAGCAACCGTGAAAGGGTGGCGCTTTGAATCCATTCGGGACCCTCAGGCAGCCACGGCAGCACAGCTAAGGAGCCCCAGCAGAGGGGGCTCCAGCGCTGTGCAGAAGGCGGGGACACAGGGACGAGGGGAGGGCCTGAGGGGTCGTGCAAGGCGTCTTGCGCTGTGATAGTTCTTGGGGATGTAAAACTCGCCTTGCTTTGTCTCTCGGCTCCCTGGTGATGCAGGCTGTGGCGTCCACGTCTCAGGCTGGTTTGTCTGCTAGTGTGCTGGGACTAGATGGAGGACGCAGCCAGGAGGGTGGTGTGAGGACGCAGCGCCTTCCTCCCTCGTGCCTCCTCCTCCTGCTCGAAGCTCTCCCTCTCCCTGGCCTGGGCAGCCACACCGTCTCACTCCCTGCCCATCAACACAAAGGTGACATGCATGGGCGCCGGCACACACCGAGGACGCTGTGGCCGCGTTCAGAGCGGGTGCCGCACAGGGCAGATCTCAAAGGTGTGGTGAGGAGGGCTCGGTCACCCGTTTAGACATCATGCACGGTGGCCACCGTGACTAAGGACGGGCAGCATTAGCACGGAGGACGAGCAGTGGGGCCAGCACCCTCGAAGGCCGGCCTCTGTGACTGTCACCCCCGCCATGGTGGGGAAGGCCCTCCCTGTGACCTCCCGCCTGGCCTCTGGCTTTTACAGCTAGAGTCTGACCCCACCGCACCTGCCCCCGCCCCAACATGCCGAGACCTCGGCCCTGGCCCCTGCACCTTTGTCCCCAACCCCCTGCTCAGAGGGACAGGGCCGGTCTCCGTCCCGAGAGCCCAGGGGTCAGCATGCAGTGGCACTCAGGAGACATCTGTCACTCACGCAGGCCTGGGTGGGGCGGCAGAGGCAAGGCAGGGAACGGTGCAGACAGAGGCGGAGCAAACGGCAGGCGTCCCTCCTAGCCTCCCTCTCCACCCCTCAGCAGGGCACCTGCAAACCCAGAGGGAACCGGGTGCCCCCTGGGGCCAGCAATGGCCATGGCGGGTCTGGCTGTGTGGCCTTGGGCTGCCAGGACAGCGCTTGGTGACAGCGCTGGTGTTCTCCCACTGGGGATGGCTCACAGCACCTTTGCACTGAGCTATAGCCCCAGATCCTTTTTGTTCATTTTTTATTTTGAGACAGCATATCACCAAGTAAGTTGCCCAGGCTGGATTTAAACTAGCAGTCCTCCACTTCAGCCTCCCAGGGTGCTGGGACTACAGGCATGTGCCACTACGCCTGACCTTGTCCTTACTCCCGATACCCACCCACTGAAAGGACCCAGCAGAGACTTTCTGCCCCCAGAAGGGAAACCCACTGGCCTCCACCCCTCCCAGCACCCCTCCAGCCCCCAGCCCTTGGGCCTAGCATCTCTGGGACTCCGGCCCTGACCATGCCTTCTCCAGACGGTCACCATCCTGGTGCCTTCTCCTTAGCACAGAGGACAGCACCACTGTCTTCTCCTGCATCGGCAGGGACACGGCTTCTTCCATCCCCACCACGAGAGCCCTCCCAAGTCCCATTTCTGACCCCAAATCCCTCCACTCCCCATCCCTGGAGCCACGGTGGGAGATAGAGGCCTCGAGGTGTAGAAGGTCCCTGGACTCACAGAGACCCCCTGAGACTGTGAGGCTCTCCTATCCCTGCAGCAGAGCCTGGCCCTGCCTGGCGGAGGTCTCACCTGCACACCTCGGGGGCCACCTCACCTGTCAGCAGGAGCCCCCACCACACCACACCGCCAGGGGTCGCCACTGAGGCTCATCCCCAGTCTGAGGCTGGGGTGTTTCCTGGAGCTCCGGGGAGGGTCTGAGTCCAACCTTGCCTTCCATCCACCGCACTCCTTGGTCCTAGCCTCAGTTTCCCCGAGCAGGTCCTTGGAAGGTCTTTGCTGCCTGACAACTGTGAGGCTCTGAGAACTCTGGGAGAGGGGCCTGTGTCACCAGTACTGCCCTCGCCAGGCCCTAGCACCCATTGGAGACCCCAGCACCCGCCCTGCCCGTTGTTGCGTGGCCCTGGGGAGGGAGGCTCCTCCCTTATCAGCGTTTACTGCCTCGAGGTTACACAGTAATGCGAAGCCATCAGTGACTGTCGGCTCCGGACACCGGCTGAGGAAGGAAGGAAAGAAGGGTCCCTCCAGGCTCCGGAGACCAGGGAAAAGCTGGCAGGACCTGAGGCAAGAGAGGGGCCGGGCAGTGCAGAGAGAGCAGTGCAGTGAGAGGAGACCGAGGCAGCAGGAAGCAACCCCACCGCCCCAGCAGGCCCGGGACCACTCCACCAGCCCGGCACGGCAGGCACAGCTGGGTGAGAAAGCCGCTGGGCAGGGGCCAGGCTGCCCCAAGGAGACCGGCCAGCCGCAGAGTCCACAGCCTGAGGGCAGCCAGGCCGGGGCAGCGGGTAGAGGTAACTGAAGTTCCGCTCCGCCCGGCCGCTCCCCTCTGCTCTCCACCACCCAGCAGCGGCCGGGCCCAGCCTCGTCCAGGAGGCCGCTCTGGAGCACAGAGCCCCACTTGGCAGTGGCTCCTCCCTCAATGCCAGGCTGCTGAGAGCCCTGGCTGTGCACCTCGGATATAGCTGCCACCTGGCCCGGGAGTGGTGGCATCCATGCAGGCCCTGCAGACCCAGCTTCGTGCCGCCCGGATAAGCCAGCAGGAGGCTCTCCACCCCGCTCTGCACCCGTCACCGGGCAGCACCTGGGCAGAGGGCACAGGGAGCCTGGAAGCCCCGCTCCCCTCGGGGCATGGAGAGCAGCACCACGTGCCGCGGAGCCCCTGAGAAGCTGGGCCTGTCCTTCTCCATCGAGTCCATCCTCCGGAGGCCCTCAGCGCAGCGTGATGAGGCCCAGCCCCAGCCCGCACAGGAGCAGCCCCAGGGTGAGTGGCTCTGAAGCGTTGCTACTGGGGGGCGCAGAGGCCCAGCCGGCCTGGGCAGGGGACTCACTCCCGCTGGGGCAGAGCGGGTGCCAAGTCCAGGGAAGGGTCGGGCTCACAGTCCCACCTCCAGTCCGGTGGGCTGGGGCTTTCCAGGCGCCACACTGCGGCTCAGGGACCCACCTCTCCCCAGCAGCCCTTCCATCCACTCAGCAGGGCGACAGGGTCCACAGAACCCACACTACCTGGACACTGGGGCCGCTGAAGGCCCTCCAGCCCCTCCCTCAGGCCCTGCGCAGAAAGAGCAGCCCCCTCCCGTGCTGGCGAGGGCAGTGGCTCCTGCACTTCCCTGACTCCCCTGGCCCTGGGCAGCGTGGGTCCAGATCACTGGGGGTGGGGAATACGGCTTTCCAGGCCTGAGGGAATTTGACTCCAGCACTGGGCAGGCCGAGGACTGCATTCTAAGAGGCCCTGCATGGTTCTCATCTGGGGGTTCCGGTCCCTCTGAGGAGCCCGGCTCGGGGAGGTTGGCACGCTGACCCCCGCCCCATGGAGCTCGCATGCAGCAGGGTGGGGCAGCCCCAGAGACCCCTGCTCTTCCTCATCTTCTCATTCTGGTCGGGGGACCCTTCAGTCTCCAGTCCGTGGGCGCAGCCAGGAGGCTTCCAGCTGCCTCTCCTCTGGGAGAGGAGCCCTGAGACCCAAACCTCCATAGTCCAGGAGGCTGAGTCAGGAGGAACCCTTTCTACTGGAGGCCTCAACCCTGGAAAGAAAGAGCTGGTCTGCACCTCTCCCACTGCACAGGGCAGGGGAAGGAAGGAGAAGACAGACCGGGGAGACCCCTGCAGGTGTGGGGACTCCGCGCTCCCGCCTGCTCTGTAACTGCAGGCTCTCACCTGGGCCCAGCTGGGAGCTTTTGGGGGTTAACACCACGGATGGTGACCGGCCATCTGCAGCAGACACAGGTCAGCCACTGTGCGTCCCTGCCAGGCGTGTCTGGCAGCTATGGCCCCAGGGGAATCACGGCATCGGAGGAACACGCTGTAGGGGCAGCCAGCTAAGGGCCGGGTGCCAACGCAGCTTTGGTGGCCCGGCAGCCACTGCCATTCAGCTGAAAAGGGCCTGCAGACAGGGTGTGAAGACAAGGTGGCTCCTATAAAACTTTATTCAGAACAGCGGCCTGCTGGCCTGGCCCTGACTACCACTCCCTGCTATTCCCAGCTCACCGTCACCTCTCCGACCCTCGCCGCCCCGCAGAGATGTGGAGCTGCCCTGGCGTCTGCCCTCTCCACACCCACACTGTGGGCCCCCTGCCCTCCCTTCCCTACCCGCTCCCTGTGTCTGGGTCTGGCTGTCAGTCACCCCAGGGCAGGGCTCTCCCGGAGCAGCGCAGTGCTGGTGGGAGGACTCAGGCAGCCCTGATCTCCAGCTGTGGTCTTCGCCGCCTTCTCTGCCCACTCCCCTCTGTCTGTGTGCGAGGCAAGGCTCTCCCTCCTCCCCTGGAGGGTGCCAGGCCTGGGGCCGCGTGCCTGTCATGAACCCCTCAGCTCTGTCCACTGACTCCTGAGGACGTCACATTTGCTTTCATCAGGGGACCTCCTGTCACTGCCTTTGGGGACCTCCTGTCACTGCACCTGCCCTGCTTCTCCCACACTGTTCCCTCTGCCCCCTCCCTCGCCTGCCCCGTGACCTTTCTCCATTCCTTCATCTCCGCTCCTCCTCCCCTGGTGTCCCTTGTCCTGGGAGGCGTGGCCTGGCTGGCACACACAGACCCAGGCCCTGTCAGAGCAGCCTGGGGCAGGCCCAGGAGCGTGCTGTGCACTCTCTGGGGCTCCCCGGGCAAGTGCGAGGCTGCCCTCCTGCGGGTCTCATTCCTCGGTCCTGCTCCAGAGCCACAGCTCCCCCGGCCCAAGGACCCTCCCTCCCCCAGGGCGCCAGAGCTGAGACCCGGCCAGCTGTCCCCCTGCAGGGACACAAAAGGGCCGTGTGGACCCTGCTTGCCAAAGAGTCAGGGGTCAGTGTGGGCTCCCCCAGAACCAGACCTAGGGAAAGATCTGAGGGCAAGTCCTTGACGCAGGTGTGCAGTGCACAGCCGCAGGAAGCGTGGGGAGCACAGGCAGGGAGCCGGGCGAGAGTGTGCTGTTAAGCAGTGGCCCGGAGACCGCAGCTGAGCTGGGGGTGCACAAGCTCCCTCCTCAGAAGCCCAGGAAGCCCGGCTGAGGCCTGAGGGAGACGGATCCAGAGAATAGAAGGTCGGGAGGGTGTGATCCAGGCGTTGACCGCATCCGCCAGTCAAGGACCCAGAGGGCAGAGGCAGGAGGAAGCGCCTGTGGCAGTGTTTAAACTTCATTTCTTCATCATCTTCTTCATCTGAACACGCACGCAGCAGCTGCTGAATATCTTCCGAGTGCCAGGCACACCTGCTATACCACAAATCACCCCAAACTTCTCATTCAGGTTCTGTGATCGGGAACGAGGAAGTGCACTGATGGGCTGCTTCTGCCCCGGTCGCTCCTGAGATTGGGGCTGGGGCATGTGGCAGGTATGTGGGACCGGCCCTTGGCCTCCACGGGGCAGATGGCTTCTCAGAGTGAGCGATCCAAGAGGGAGAGGGCCAGATGGGCGAGCTAGCCCTTTACAGCCCTGCCTCGGAAGTCATAGCACATCGCTGCTGCACTCCAAGCGTTAGAAATAAGCCACTGGGTTTCACCCCCTTGCAGAGAATAGAACTTGAAGGGGAAAGATGCTCAAGGATCCACAGCACATCCCGCAGGCACCGTGAGGTCGGGGATGGGGTGCACAGGAAAGCACAAGTGCACTGGAGGCACCACTGGCTTGCGTCGCTGATGTGGCACTCTGAGGGTCCAGGAGGCGAGAGGGCTTCCTGGAGGAGCAGCAGCGGGTCACAACCTCCCGCTGAGTGAGGGGGAAGAGGGTGCTCCGCGGACCTGGGGCCCGGGGCGATGGTCTCGCCAGAACGCTGGCAAGGGGCAAAGCACAGGGGGCCTTGTTGGCCAGGGAGGGGGCTGGGTTTGTTTCATATTTTACGGAAAAGTGAACAGTGATCAATACTGGTGTGAGCTCTTTGATCCCACTGGCAGTGACTGTCCCAGGTTGGCTGAGCTGGGGAGGGAGACTTTGCCTCAGCATCAGCTGCACCTGTGACGGGAGCCCCACAAGCCTGGTGCCCAGGGTTCCCCCCACGCCCAGGACACAGGCCTGCCACCGCCTGTCCCGCCTCCAACAGCCCCAGGCGCTGTGTCGACCTGGGTGCTGGTCCCCAAGCTCGCTAGTCTCGGCTCCCAACAGCCAAGCGGGAGCTAGCTGTCTCCTCCGTTCTGGTTAGGGCAGCTGAGGGTATGGCAAGGCCATGTGTGTGGATGTGGCTGGGGGTCTCTTGATGATCCCCTCCCACCTCTCTGCTCTGAGGTAGAAGGCGGTTCCATGTCACAGGGCTCTTCCGGCTCCCACGCCATCTTCCATCTCCACACGTGGGCTCTCGAGCTTCTCTCTGATCAGTGCCGTGCTTCTTCCGAGGTTTCCCTCTCCAGACAGTGCTCAGTCATTTGTCGGCCAGCAGCGGTTCTTGCCCTGCTCACAGCCCTGTGACTCCTGCTGGACAGCCCTACTTTGGGGACTCCTCAGCCTTGACACTCAAACCTTAGCAGAGAGCACCAGGAAATTCCCCCACATTCTCAGCGGGACAGGTGACCAAGTATGGATTCCCCCACTGGCAGGAACCGGTCCTGTGACACTTCTTGTATCACACCTTGACACATCCCCTGGCTACACAGCTAATGTTGCCTGCGCATCCCCCAGCTGGGGGCAGGGTTGGAGCATACATGCGTGCGCATGCACACACACACGCACACACATGCATATAGACACATAAGCACATCATGCACTTGTACACACACACACATTATGCACACAAGCACACATGCACACACACACAACCTCTCCACTAGAAAGAGTTAGAACTGTTGAAGTACAATTGCACTGCCAGAGGAATAAACAGAACCCACTGACACGTGCCACGCCTCATGTGTGAGTCCCTCAGACCTGCACGCATGTTGTGAAGCCATCAGTCATGACACCAGTCACGAGCTAAGAGAAGGAGCTGTAGACACAGAGGAGGGAACATCAACGCTGAGGCCACCAGGAGGACCGTAGAGGGCTGTGCCACTGGAGATGAGGGGCTGTGGGCAAGGACGCCTGGGCAGCAGCAGGAGGAACAGGAAGGGACTGTAGAAGCCACCACCGCACCTGGACACTAATGTCACCGAGCAAAGTCACAGAAGAGAGGGAGGCTGAAGGTCAAGTGTGCCTGCCTGGAGCCTCTTGGCCTCTGTGCCATGTACCAGCGAGCACAGAGCCCGTGGCTGGAGAGATTCGGGCCTCCCCCAGCACACATCAGCACCAGCCCAGGCCCTGCAGACCAGTGTGAAGGATTCTGCTGCTGTTTGTTTGTTGTTGGGTTGCATAAGGTTTCCATTAATCAAAAGGGCATGCTTTGCTTTAAAAAGGAAAAAAGAGAAAGATACACCTGAAAGAGCAGGAAGTGCGTACACATACATGTGCACCGCTACTGAAGTCTCACACGTGCATTGCATGTAGCAGGTACCAACCTGCAAGCTGCTGCCAAGGCAGAGCAGACCCGGGCCTGGCCCCGAGGCAGCGCCCCCAGATCCAGCCCGGGCCCGGGTCTCCTCCTAGCTGTTTGTCTTTCTTCTCTCTTCCCAAACTGCTGGTTTCTTTTTGCTGTTTATTTACACAAAAATCCATATTTATTACAGAAAAATAAGAAGCACAGCTAACTGAAAGGGAAGGGAAAGTGTAACTAACTCTACTGCTTACCGTCCAGTGGTCTTCACCATGAAAGTTGTGTTGGAAAGATTTGTTCTACAAATAGGAAGGCTGGTTTGGTGCAAGCTGGAATTTAGCACTCTGACTTTTCTTTACAAATAATAATAATAATAATAACCTATTGTGCTTCCACTAGGAGTTTCACACCACACTTGGAGAGAAGGGAACGCTCAAGATTTGAGCCATGACAGACCAGTAGGAGGTCAGGAGACAAAGACGGAGGGAAGGACTCAGGGTGCAGGCGAAGAAGGGGAGGCTGTGCCCACCTGGGAGACAGAAATAGCCAGGTAGGACGGAGGCCACAGAAAAGAGTGCTGGGAGGGGCAGATGACACCGGAATTAGGCCTGGCCAGAGCTTGAAGGAGCCGCCTCCCTCCCCATGTGCAGGAGGGAGCCCCAGAAAGCCAGGAGGCTGCACCCTTCCTGTGCATCAGGAGGTGGCCCAGCAGGAGGGCCTAGCGACAGGCCACTTAATGCAGGGTCACCACAGCCAAGCCCCAGACCCCGCGCCTAGCCAGGCCGCTCAGCAGACCACAGAGGTGCTGTCGCAAGGGAGCAGGCATGGGGAGCCTCGCTGTGCAATTAGGCGGCCTAATCACCTGTGTAAATGGTGTGTTTCTGATGATCAATGTGCTAAACGGCGCGGGCTTAATTAAGTTCTGCTGACTCGTCCTCTTTGAGCACCGCTGATGTGTGACTCACAGCTCACGCAATGAATCACAGTGGCGGGTACCACCACCTTCACCCCCCCTGCTGCTCCCAGGGGTCCCTGGCCGGCTGCCAGGGCCTGGGCTGTGAGCCCTGTCGGGAGCTGCTGGGCTGGGAGGGAGCCCAAGGGTTTTCTCTCAGGTCCATCTCTGTGCAGGGCCACGCACCCTGCTTGGGACAGCAAGGTCCGATTTCCCTTTGTCCTCTCTGAGCAGGGCCCCCAAGCATCCGAGACAGCCGTGCAGTGCCTGGGCAGCCCCATCCATGAGACCAGCTCCCTGCTCAGCGTCTAACAAGGTCCCTCCAGCCCCGGAGGCCCCTGGGCTAAGTCGTGCGCTGCTTCTCTGTCCCCCTGCTATCCTGCCACTCCACCTCTCTTATGGCCGCTTCTTCGTGAAGTTGCCTTACCTTCCTGCCCCTGACAGCCCCTTCCTCAGGTGGTGGGGCATCTGAAGGGCTCACTTTCATCCCCTGGGACACTGCTCACTTCCTGCCCACCTAAGAACCATGGTCAGGGTGACTCCTGGATGCCATCTGTATGGGTACAGGTGAGCGGGGACAGAAGTATGGTGGTAATGGTGATCACTGTGATGGTGGTGGTGATGCTGGTGATGGTGGTGATGGTGATGGTGGTGGTGATGGTGGTGATGGTGGTGATGGAGATGCTGGTGATGGTGATGATGGGGGTGGTGGTGATGGTGATGCTGGTGATGGTGGTGATGGTGGTGATGGTGGTGATGGTGGTGATGGTGATGGTGATGGTGGTGGTGATGGTGATGGTGGTAATAGTGATAGTGATGATAAAGGTGATAATGGTGGTGATGGTGGTGATGCCCCTACTTCCAAGTCCCCGAAGGCCACTGAAGTCAGCCTTATGTCCATTGGAAGCCCTCCTTTGGGGGGAGTTGTGGGTGTGCAGGACACTGGGCGGAGGGAGATTAAAGTGAGATCAAGAATAGGATTTCTAGGTGTCTGAGAGAAACCCCCATGGTGGCACTTCTCCACAGAGCATGGTGACAAGTGTTCCATGGCTGTGCTGCCGCATGCGGCTGCGGGGCACGGCTGGTGTGCTGAGGACACAGTGGACAGCATGGCTCTGTGGACTAAACTTCACAGCACATCACACCTCATCCCAACCCTGTTTCCTGACTCCAGATCCAGGCCTGTCTCTCCTGCTGCACATGGTCTCAGGTCACGCGTCAGGGCCTGCTCCACTGGTGTGGTCATGCTCTGGATTCCTCTGCCCATCGTTCCTCCCGTGTTTCTCTGGGTCAGGGTGCTGAGAGGGCTAGATAAGAACAGAGATATCCACTGTGGATGCTCAGGAACACCGTGGGTCTGGGAAGGCACTCACTCTCAGTTCCCACAGGCTGGCCCACGGGGCCTGGCATAAACCTCTCTACCAGATAATCTTAGACACCTCTCATCATCATCACCATCATCACCATTGTCATCATCAGCACCGCCACCATCATCATCATCGCTGTCTCTCAAAGACAAACCCCGATCCTGGGAACCCTCTTGTGGAGCCACTTTTTTTTGAGACAGGGTCTTGCTAGCAGTTCAGGCTGAATTTGAGCTCTCTTTGTAGCCCAGGCTGGCCTCGAACTTGCAATGATCCACTTGCCTCAGCCTCCTGAGTGCTGGGATTACAGGTGTGCACCACCACGCCTGGTGTTAAAGGCAAGAAACTGATTTGCAAGAGTTTTGTTTTGTTTTGTTTTGTTTTGGTACTGGTAATGGAACTCAGGACCTTGAGCTTGCCAGGAAGGTGCTTATGCCACTGAGCTATATTCCCTGGCCCTTTGGAGCCACTTTCCTAGCCAGCTGTGACTGTCCAGAGCTCCCTTTCCAAGGCATTGGCAGTCAGGAGCTGTGGCTGGGCAGGGTTAGGATCCTCACCCACCTCTATGTGGTTCTCTTCCCACCCTGCTGGGTGAGGACAGCCACAGGCACCCTAGTGACTGTTCCACAGTCACAGACCGGCAAGGCCCAAAATAATTGTTTTATCAAGAGTTGATCCTGAGTCGTGTACTCCTGCGTTCTAAGTCTCCTCCCGGGAATGGAGCCGCTGGTGCCTTAGTGTTACACCATTTTCTCTTTCTAGCCCGCTGCCCTCCACGTCTCCTTCTCCGTACTGTGGCTCTGTACCCTGACACCCCCCCCCCAGCATCTCTGCTCCTCAGATTTGAGTCCCAGGTGACTCAGCAACACACAGCCGTCCAATCTGCTGCCTTCCCCTGAAAACAGTTTTGGTTTTGGCAACTTCCTACAGCACGCACCCTGCTGGGTTCAGGAATGAGCGGATGAGTGGATGCTCTCGAGCAGGCTGTTCGTGGTCCCCGTGCCGCTTGGTGCCTGGGTGCCGAGAAGTTGCTCGCTGGTGTGGTGGGGATGACACCATCCTCTCCGGCTTCAGCCCCATTGCCCAAGCACACCACTAGCTCTAAACATAAAACAACACCTGTTTAAATGTAAAAGTTTAAAAAGAGCGTGGACTTGAGGAGGGAAGGGGTCAGCAGAGAAGGTCAGACCCCCGCCAACAGTGGTCCAAAGGCCGCCACAGCGCCGTGGGGACCAGAGCACTGTCCACCACCCTCAGAACACTTCTAAGAGTCAGGAAACCAAGCAGAATATTCTGAGGGGATGAAAATCGGTCAAGACCAGAGTAGGGGACAGAAGTAGGGAGGAGGGGCCCACGCAGTCCACAAACCTGTGTCTGCCACAGCCCAGTAGGCCTGGCCCCCTCTGGGCCTCTGCCCTCCCCAGCAACATCCCCAGGCAAGTCCCGGCCAGGCCCTGAGTCACCCAGCCTCCAAGGGAAGAAGCTTGCAGAGGGTGAGGGCCAGCTTGACCCAGGCCACTCGTCCATCCAAGCCATCTCCGCCCCTACTCTACACAGGGGACACTGGGGCTAGAGAAGGGGTCGAGTATGGACAAGTTGTAGAGCAGAACCAGGACCAGCACTCAGGTCTCGACCCCCAGCTCAGGAGTTTGCTCTGCGCTGACAGCAGGACCCATGACAAGCCCTGAGGGAGGGGACGTCAGCTGGCCTTTTCCCCTGTCAGGCCGTTGTCAGCTTTCCCAAGTGTCTGCACCCATTCATGGTTTGCGGTGGCCTCATCTCTCCCACCGGGAGGAAAGCTTAGGCCCAACGCCCTGTTCCGGGTAGCGGTCTCTCCATCTGCATCCTGCAGGACCTGTGACGTGGCATTGCAAGACAGTGCCCTCTGCATCCCTCGGGACACTCCGTGCCTGAATCTCCCAGTCACTGTCAGAGGCAACTGTATCAAACTTCCCTGGGTGCTGGCCACTGGCTGTGCGTGCCCACCCGGCCCACAGCGGAAAGGGATGGGCAGGAGGCTGCGCCTGAGCCTGTGCGTGGGCACTGCCTCCAGCTCAGGAAGACCCCGGACCCTACCCGCCCTCTGAGAGCAATTTGGGCACAGAAAGGAGGAAAGTCAGGAGCTGCAGGGCTGTCACCCGGAGCCCTGGGCATCCCCGCTGTGAGAGAGGAGAGCTGGGAGGCCACCTGTGCCGTTTCCACACCCCGAGAGCCCTGTCGCAGAGGCTGTGCCCCAGGGTGTGGGGAGCCGCAGCCCCGTTCTCGGAGGCCGAAGTCAGGAGCCAGGCCCGTCACCCCGGTCCTCCAGCCTCCTCTCCAGAGCTCCACCACCACATCTGATCCTTCATTCTGAAACCAAGGGCATGGGTGTGAGGAGCAATTTTTGTCTTTCCTAGTACTGGGGGCAGAACCCAGGGTCTTTGCACTAAGGCACATCCCCGACCTTGTTTTATTTTGAGACAGACCTTGCTGAGCCTCTAACTTGCAGTCCTCCTGCCTCAGGCTCCCTGGGTACTGGGGAGGTACTTCGCAGGCATGGTCACCCTGCAAGGGACACTCCCCTCACCCCATTGCAGTGGGTCTGGCCGCACCTTGTTGAAACCATGTGTCCCCTAACCCTCCTGTTCCCGCCTCCTCGGGCCCTGTTACCACGCGCCTCCCCTCCCTGTCCCTCTGGAGGGCTCTCTACCTGCGCCACACTTCACCCTCACTGCAGTTCCCCCGCACTGCTGTCCACCCACATTCTCCGCCTGAGGGTCTACCATTCCTGGGACTTCGAGAGCCAATGTGCACTGACAACGCCCTCCCTGAACTTCGCTCCTGAGCCATAAGCCTTGAAATGCAACCACTTGCACCACAGGGGCCTTTGGATGCCCACAGGTTTGGTGTGTCCAGACCAAACCCCTGTATCCCCGCATGCAGACACACCCTCATTTGCACACACGTGTGCTCCTGCTCAGACCAAAACTGATGAACTGTTCCTGACCTCTCCTAGCCAGGACTTAATCCACAACAAGCCTGGCAGCTGCCTTCCCAAACACACCTCAAGTCTGCCCTGCACCCTGCTGCCCACAGCCCAGGCAGTGTGACGGGAGGGGCGGCTGGCAGATTGAGGCTGACGCTCTGCTGTGGTCAGGGGTTTGTCTCCTGCCCAGCTCCATCACAAGAAGACTTTGGGGTTGGATTCTGATGGGCCCGGTCAAGTTCTGACCACACCAGTCCAGTTTCCACAACCAGTAGTGAATAGGAAGACGTTTCCAATAGGCGGGCACTGGCCCGGAGAGAAGGGGTTGCCTAACCACTCTGCACATGCAAACCCACCCCAGCAGGGCTGGAAGGCCAGGAGGGACGGCTAGAGTCATGAGAATGAGCTCAGGAGCCAGAGGCTGTAGGAGTTGGGGCTGCAGACCAGAACTGAGACCCCAAATCCACCAGGGTGGTCAGAGACAAGCCACCGTGTGCACTGGCAGAGTGTGCCAGTGTAAGCAGGCCGGGCATGCAGGCTGGAGGCCACAGAGGCAGCCTGGCCTGTCATGTGCCCAGAGGATGCCCCATGGTGGGGTCAGAGGCCTGGCGCCGGTGGACACCTTAGGCCTGAACTTGCTCTGCAAGCAAGTCCAGGGGCCATGCCACACACAGAGGACTTTGGGGCTTGGAGCCTCAACTGGCCACTGCCTCTCCCTACCCTGCTGCCCCCGGTGTGCTCTCAGCCCACTCTGTCCTTCCAGCCCTGCCTAGAGTCTGCCTACACCTTGGAGGGGCAGGCTGGCACCCAGGAGGGGGGAGGCAAGGGGCTGTGATGCATGCTGGAGCCAGCCTCCCCACTGGGCGCAGCATCCCAGCCTCGGGGAGACCCACCCTGCCGGGAGGCCCTTGACCTCTGTGGTGAGAACAGGGTGCCAACTGGCACACTGAAAACCCGCCCTGACCATCACATTTCCCTCTCGTGTGACGAGAGGGAAAGCTCCCAGCTTCTTCGGGAGCAAGGGGTCCCAATGCCCACTTTGAACTGAGGCCCACAGGTGAGTGAAACTGAGGGTGAACAGGGACAGTGGACAGCAGACAGGGGCAGGAGGTGGCTGGACAGTCCCATCAGCAGCAGAGCCCCCACTCTGCAGGCCGGGGTCCCGGGAGCTGATCAGACCCCCAGTACCTGCAGGGGAAGCGGTGCGGACTAAAGCCAAACAGAAGACAAAGTTTGACGTAGAAGGGGTCCGGGAGGAACTTGCCTGTAGTGGGCAGGTGCAGCAGTCCCACGGCTGGCTGTTTTTATCAGCAAGCAAGAAGCGCGGGGGAGGGTAGCACGTGTTTTGTGGACCTGCGACTGTGGAGAGCGGGAGATAAAGAATGAGTTAGTGAGGAGCCAGATTTTCTCTGCACCCAGATGCCTCTGTTTGGATAACTGTCCTCAGCAGATGCTCTCTTGCCTCAGGAGCACCGGGTGGTCTGCACTCCACCATAGCTGGGGTACATGGCCTTCCCCAGGCTGCCCTGCTCCTGAGCGAGGTCACACGACCTCGAGACCGTCAGACCTGAGTTATGTAAACTAGTCCCCAGCGCCGGGGCTGTCGTCCTTCCCTGTGAGGAGCAGGAAGGGAGAATTTCAGTCTGCATGACCACACGGGCTCCACTGCAATGACAGCACAGCTACTACTGTGCAAAAGCAGCGGAGACAGGACATAACTCATGGGGCTGTGTTCTAACAAAACTTCATTTAATAGCAGATGGGGTGGACTCGGCCTACAGGTGGCTGTCTGAGTCCCCTGCTGTAGACAGGCATGGTGAGGCCTCTAGCAGCACAAAGCAGCAGATGGAATGTTCTAGAACATGGATTTGGCCCTGCCCAGAGGGATGCTGGGGAGGTGCACAGCTCCCAATCCATGTGCAAGGCTGGGCCAAGGCTGGAGAGGGCCAGGAGGGTGGCCCTGGCCCAGCCTAACCACTGGGCCTCTCCCACAGCAGAGAGAAGGACCCGGCGCAGAGCCCGCACCACCTTCACCCCAGAGCAGCTGCAGGAGCTGGAGAAGATCTTCCACCTCACCCACTACCCTGACATCCACATCCGCAACCAGCTGGCTGCCAGGATCAACCTGCCAGAGGCCCGGGTACAGGTACGGCCACCCTCGTCTTCCAGGGCTCTGGGCCATGGACTCCTGGTCCCCACCCAGGCTGCCCCAGGAAATCCTCCCTGGCTCTGACTGCTGGCCCTGGCTGCCCTAGCCAAAGATCATTTCCCCAGGAGGGCGGTCGCCATCACTGTAAGCCATGTCCCTCCATAGGTGGACATTGAGCAGGCAGGCACCAGGTATCTGAGTCCACCCAGCTCTGCGTCAGAGCCCTGCTCCCTGCAGCTTGGAGCCCCCTCCCCAAGATATGAGCGATAATCAAAAAAGAAGACATGTGACTACCTAAAAAGAATAAACACTTTCAAATAACAAATAAATAAAATGTTCATTACAGTAAAAGACAGATTATCATTAATCCCTCTCAAAATTCTCCCCCTTGCTTCTAACACACTCATCCCACTGCTCGTGCTGCCTTCTGCAGCAGCTCTGGAGTCCTCTTTCCTGGGCGTCTTTAATTGTGCTGTCCTGGCTGCCTCCGTGTCCTGAATTGATTCAAAACATTCACCTTTTGTGGTCACTGTGACTCTGAGGAAGAGCCTTGCAGTGCCAGATCTGGTGAATAAGGTGGACAAGGACGCAGTGCCATGCTTTTCCGTTGGGTGGCACCTGGCAGCAGCATTCACCACATTTTTGATCACACCTCCTAAAGACACTGGGGTGTTGATAAATTATCCAAAGGATAATGGGATACGTGAGTTTGAAGTAAGGGGAAGCTTTGGAGGAGGGGTCATTGGTGATGTCTTTTAATGTAATAATTTTTTTAATCTAAACATCCACTTATTTTTCGATCACCTGGTGTGTAGGTCCTGAGACTCCCCACCAGGGTCAGAGGCTTGGTCTGCCCAGGGCTGGGTTGCACTGACGTGAGGCTCGGTGGACACAGGGCCACTGTGAGAGCCACCATCCAACCTCCCGTGACAACAGAAGACAGAGGACTACATGTCCCATAAAACTTTACCTAGGAACCCTGAGCCTTGGATTTGGTGTAACTGGAATGTGCTGTAAAATATTATTCTTACTTTGATTTTGCTCCCAACCATTTAGAGCCATGAAAACCACTCTTCTCTCACACCCACTCAAAATCACAAGGAGGCCCAGTCAGCCTGCCGGTGCCAACGGCCGACCCCGATCTGAATGCACATGTGCCCTGCAGGGTGGTGCAGGCACAGCCCAGAAGCAGTCCAAGGCAAGCCTGGTTCCACCAGCAGCCTGACCATGTCTGATCCTCCTCACCCCAGGCGTCCACGCTGCACCTGTGGGCAGCATGCAGAGCCCCATCACTGCCCGCCGGCGAACCCTGCCCTCTCCACACGTCCTGTTAGGCAGGTGCCAGGCTGCCTCGAGAGTCCTACCAGCCCCAGTGGCCGTCCCCTTGGCTCTTTCTCTAAAACAGTCTTCTACATCACTCTCCTTCTTTTTCAAACAAATTGCAAACCCTAAACCTGGGCCCCAGGCAACACCCCCGTCCTCCCCGCCCTCCCCACTGGAAAAGATCGCTGGTCTCGGCCACTCCCCTCCTCCTCCCCGGTTCAGGCAGGTGCCAGCTCAGGCCCAGCACCAGTGTGCACTGTAAACCAGAACCGAACACCTGCCCCAGCATCACCAATACCAAACCGCCTGTGACCAGGGCCCGGGCACCTGAGAATGCGAGCTGCCCAAGTTCAGCTGTGGATGCCAAGTGGCCACCAAAGCTGCCACAGACGGTGTGGTCTGGGCTGTACTGGACTTTGCTCCTTGGAAGCTTTCACGTAAAAGTCAAATTTTCCTCATTGGAAAATTGCCCAAGCCCAAAACACAGGGCTCGCGGTGGTAACAGTGGCCGGCGGAGCTGGGTGCTGCTGCTAACTCCCGTAGGGTCTCACCCCAGGTCTAAGGCTGTGACCCTGCCCTGCGGCTCACCCGCCCTGCACCATGCCCTGCTGGTGCCAGGCTGCGCTTGGGGAGGCGCAGGGTCTCACGCATCCACACCTTCTCTCCCCAACCACAGATCTGGTTCCAGAATCAGCGTGCCAAGTGGCGGAAGCGAGAGAAGATGGGCGGCCTGGGCACCCTGCAGCAGCCAGGCAAGGCCGCCTCGGGCCTGCCACCAAACCTGGATGTGGCTGTGAGTGACCCAACCTCCGGTGGGAGGGGAGCGTCAGCCAGGGACATCCCAGCCTGACCCCACTGTGGGGGCCCCAGGGCTGAGTCTGGTGTGCAGGCCAACGGGGTCCTTTAGGAAAGCTCTGGGCACGTGCCGGCTCTACGTCTCTGTCCTTCCCCACAAGTGACAGCCACAGAGTGACCCAGTCCGCAGGGAAGGTCTGCAAACCAGAGTCACAGAGCGAAGTACATGACACGGACTGCCAGACTCACACACAGCACACACGTCCCCAGGGTAACGGGAAGAGTCCCTGTGTCCCTCAAGCCATAACAGCTTGGGCAAGGGCAGGGTGACCAAGACACGGGGAGGGGGTGGCAGGAAGTGCTCTCTAAACCTCAAGGGCCCATGGGTGCCGCACCTGGCAGGCCTGAGCAGAGTAGATGCCACCACCCGCTGAGGCCAGAGCCCTGCTGTACCCTCGGGGACTCATGGGGGCCCAGCCCCAGCCCTGAGCTTCCCACAGGGCCTCAGTGCTAAACCCAGAGTCTGGGACAACAGGACAACCCCGCTCCGGGCTCAGGACAGACACTGCCCGGAGCTGCGCTGGAGCTCAGCCCTCTCTCCACAGGGCCCTGCGCCGATGGCCTCCACGCTGCACAGCCCGGCTGGCCCCCGCAGCAGCTCCCCGCCTACCCCTGCCTGGGTGCCCTCCAGGATCGCCCTCCTGCTGCAGCACCCCTGGGAGCTGCCACTTCTGCCAGGCCCCATCCAGCAGACCCATGCGCCTGCCCTCTGTGTCCTGCCACCTCCGCCCCCCAGGTGGGACAGCGTCTGTGCCACCTCCACCTAGGCACCGGCCAGAGGAGGCAGTGGTGCCCGGACCTCGAGGAAATCAGCCTCACAGCCCAGGCTGCTATGAGGACCTCGGCAGCAATGACAGCGGACAGCAGGCAGCAGGGCAAAGGCTCCGGACACACTCGCAGCTGGGCATCCTCTGACTGGCCGTGTGACCCTGCCAGCCTTGCCTCCTCCGGCCTCAGCTGAGCTCGAAGCAGCTGCACAGGTGGCCTCAGGGACCCTTTTCTCCATAAGCCAGGACAGGCAGGAGCCACGGGGCCAGGAGGCTGCAGGCACAAACATTCCCTCGGCAGGACCTGGACAGAGACAGCTGCTCCAGTCCCCCCGGGGGACCGGGCACGGTGCCAACCATGCCCTGGGCTCAGTCTGACTCTGCCTCAGGCTTCAATGTGGACATCACAGAGCGGGACAGAAACAGACCTCCTGGTGTCTGGTTGTCCCACCCGACTGGGAAGGTGGCACCACAGCTGGTGTGGATGAAGACAGAAAGCCTTTCCAGAATGGACACCTTCCACAGGCAGGGGCAGCCAGAAGCCACCTCCCTTGGTCCTGGAAAGCCTGAGATGTCCATCAGTTCTTCATATCCCTGCAGGGAGACCCTGGAGGGACTGCCGCCTACCTGAGCCTCAGTTTCCCTGTCTGTAAAATAGACCTGCAACTCCCCGGCCTGCTCCACTGTGCCTCTGTGAAGCGACATCCTTATTCCTACATCCACAGGGACAGCGGCTGTTGGGGGACCTGTCCTGCTGTGGGGATGGGGCCTCTCCCCAAGGCTGGGCATCACAGTCAGGGAGCCCTAAGAATCTCCCGCAAGCCCGGATCCCCAGCCACAGGAGCAGGGAGCCGGTTCCTAGCCCACGCTCCCCCCATCATTCCAGCAACCTTACCTTTGAGTGCTCTGGGCCTCCGTCTCTGTGTCTGTAAATGGCAGTAGCAAGGCCAGCTCTGTCGTCCGGCCCGGCCAGCGGGGCCCAGGCTGCAGTTCACAGTGTGACCAGACGCTCCCGAGTCACCGTGGAGCAGAACGTTCCCCTGTGAGGCCGCTGCCTCCTCCCTTCGGGCTTTTCCCCAAGAACTCTTGCTCTTTTACAGGCACAGAGCGAAGGGTCACTCTAGAGACCTTCCCCGCTGCGCGCCCGTGGGCAAGCGGCCTGCCCTCCCCGCGTGCTTCCTCCCTGACCTCTTGCCTCCCGGAGACCGTGACCGCCAAATGAGCTGATCCCTCGGACACACAGCGAGAGCGCAGCACACGTCACAAGAACAGGGACTTCCCCCGGCCCCTTCTACCCTTTTGTGCCGATCTTCAGCAAGCGCCAGAGCCAGAGCCTCCTCCTAGGAGTGCTTAACCAGCTTCTGGGAGGCCAAGGGACTCTCAGAAGAGTGCAGAATTCTGCATGGCCGTGTGTTCATTCTCCCAGAAAAAGGGGCTCGTTGCTTTTGTGAGTTTTGCAAAGAGCCCTGAGACTTAAAATTAATAACCACTGAGAGCCCTGTGGGACACACCTGCGCCCGGTTGTGACAGGCCTATTCCAGCTGTGAGGACACAGACTTGGGAGAAGCTAAAGCAGAACTGCTTTGAAAAGGTAAAATCATGCAGCTATTGCCTCAGTTCCAATGCGCCCCAAAAGTGGGTGTTGGAAATGTGTCACCATGGCAACGGCATTAGAGCTGGACCTTTGGGGGCTTGTGGACCGTGACAGGGTTAATGCCTCATGGCAGGAGTGGATCCTCACAAAGGCACGAGCGGGCCCCTTCCCAGGTCGCTCTCACCCAGCTCTGTCCCTGGGACGCACGTGTGCCTCTCCACCTGGGTCAACACAGCGAGGGCTCTGCAGATGCCAGCCCTCCACCTCGGGCTCACAGCCTCAGAACCACGAGCCAATAAATTTCTGTTCATTACAGGACACCCCTTTTGTGGCATTCTGATACCACAGCACAAACAGCTAAGACAAATACGAAGGGAACAGGGCCCGAGGTTTTACTGAACTCAGTAACAAATGAGGGAGCCGCTAAGACGTGGTGATGAGGCCCAAAGAAAACCCATTTCCGGAGAACAGGTGTGCGTGAGCACAGGTGTCTGAGCGACTGGCATCAGCCAGGAGCAAGCAATTCCATCGCCACGGACACAATTCCTTTGCACTGCTAGTGACAAGAATCACTTGCATTTCTAACAGTTTTCTTTCATCTTAAGCTAAAAAATAGCTCAAAGATAATGAAAGAGGCAGACACCCTAGAAGAGTATACTAGGCGGACTCCACTTGCTTTCACAATACCAGAGATTGAACCCAGGCATCTTACCCCTCCAGCCCTCTTTATTCTTTATTTGTAGACACGATCTCCCTAAGTGCAGGCTAACCTCCACCTCACAATCCTGCCTCAGCCTGCCAGGCAGCTGTGAGCACAGGCTCAGTCACCCCTCCCACTGCCATGTTAGTGTTTATCTGCCCATTTCAGCACCATCCAGACTTTTCCCGCTGTGAAGTGACTTTTATCTCCTTGACTCACCTTCCTTGTCCATTGCATGGGGACAAGGCCTGTCCCTGCAGCCGGCTGTGAGGACTCTGTCAGGTGACACATGCGAAGGTTTTATTTTATACTTATGGACCCATGTTATGAGTGGAAGAGACTATTATTTATTGCTTCTCAAATTCCTCAAAAACTCAAGTTTAAAAGTTCACGTCTGCAAAGTGCTTAGTAATACAGTAACATTTCCTTAGTATCCACTGACCTTTCATGATTCTATTTTTTAAAAAGCAAACCAAGCAGTAGAAAGTGGGCAAAAGGCCAAGACAAGAGACTCACAGGAAAAACACAAATTGATACTAAGCACTGACAGTATTCTCAACCTCATGCATAGTTTAAAATGCACACACAGTAGCAAGAGGGGCTCCTGCGCCTTCCGGATCAGCAAGTGCAGGCTGTTTGATGCGTGGGCCAACTCCACCCGAGAAAGTGTGGCCTCCTCAGTGCCCTGAGAGGCAACTTTGTTCCAGCCGCTTTCCACGCAAAGCACTCAGACCAGCGAGTCTGGCTGCACGAGGGCCCCCTGTCCAGCACCAGAGCTCCCCTCTGTCCAGCACCGGAGCTCGTGTGGCAGCCACGTGCCAGACTGTGGCCCCACAAGAGCTACACGAGCTGCTGCAAGCAACTCCCAGGACAAGTGCACGCTCTGCTGTTTATGCCACAACCCTTCTGGGGATGCGTGTCTCGGGACGTGTCCCCAGAACAAGGCAACCAGGGGTTGCGTGTGGATCCTGCGCACCAGAACGAGCACGGAGGAGGTGTAGTGAGACGCAGAGACACTGCAGGAGCAGCCTCCTGTGAAGCTCACCCGGCTGCTCAGAACGCGGGGCGACTGCGTGTGCCTTCGGGAGAGCAGCACGGGTGCACCCTGCGTGGGAACGGGCTTGCACCACAGTGCCATCTCACTCTGGTAAGAAAGAGACAGGACCCTCCCGACCTGCTGAGCAGCCTCTGCTGCCTAACGACGCACCCCAAGCACTGCTGCTTAAAATCAGCTGCAGCAGAGTCCATCCTCACAACCCTGGCTGGCTCGTCCCGGTCTGTGCCAGCTGGGAAGCCGCTGGCCACTGAGGGACTCCAGACGCCCTCACTCACTGGTCAGGCTTTGACAGCTGTTGGCCAGGTGACAGACAACGGGGCCACAGGACCCCAGCCCTGAGGACTCACTCTGGGCCACACCCCACTTCTGCTGTGCACTGTGGTCAAAGCAAGTCCCACGGCAGCTCAGGCTCGGGGAGGAAGGGTCAGCCCCTGCACAACGGCCAAGTGAACACCTCACTCCCCACAGCGGCCAACACCCCGGCCCACCTCTGGCACCGGGCCTGCCTCCCCCACGGCCTTGCTCCACCCTGAGTGAAGGCCACGCACATTTGGACTCTCCTGTCCTCGCAGCAAATCCAGCTCTCCACCCGCCCACAACACCAGCCAGCACGTGTTCCCTGACGTCTGCAGCCACGTCCCCAACACTCTCCCAGCTTTCACCCGGGCCTGGCCCTCCCTCAGCAGCCAGAGATGCAGATGAGGGTTCTCACCAGCCTCCGTTCCTTTCCTTCTCGGTGGCGTAGAGTCCAGGCCCCCCACAGCTGGTGTGGAGCCTGTGTCCCCCACCAGGCGCCTCCTAGCCACCTGCAGGCACTGCCCGAGGCCTTGGCACTTGCTGTGCACTCCCTCAGCCTGAGGCCCCCGGCCAGCGATGGCCTGCCTCTCTCTCCTCCTCTCCGGTCTGCACACCGATGCTCACCACCCTGCCCAGAATCACCCCACGCACCCCCGTCGCGCCCCAGCTCCGCCGTGTGATTCCTCCAGCACCGACGTCTGTCTCCCAGCACTGGAAGGAAAGCTTAGTCCTAAGGCCCGTGTGGGATGTGTGCGCTGCTGCATTCGCGGGTCTGGCTGACAGCAGGCGTTTCACATCTGCGCGCAGTGTGCACACACTTCTGTGCCTTCAGACGTGCACAGAAAACCTCTAGGTGATATACACAAGAGCGTGACAGCAGTTACTTCCACAGCCACCAAATACCCAAACTCCTCTTCTGTAACACAAGCGGGGAGCTGTTTAACTGAAAGGTGGCCAGACCCCAGGGGTGGTGGACACCGCTGCAGAACTGAGCAGGAGGCCCAGGTGCACATGACACAAGAGCAAACCCAGTGGCACTTGGAGAGAATCCTGCCCTGGAGGGAATGGTGAGCGTGTGTGAATGAGCAGGGCGGTGCCAGGTGGACCTGCACGCAAAGGAGGAAGCAGCACGTCCTCTGCCCCACAGCCTTCACCCACCCAACGCCGTTGCCCTCTCGGGCCCCTGTGCCCAGCCCCGCAGCTCCTCTCCCAGGCCCTGGCAGATGCAATCTCAGGCACCTCCCCCGCCCAAGGGAAGTAGAGTCCAGCTCCAGACTGGGCTCCAGCAGCCTGGCAGCCCCTTCTGTGCTCCCCTCCGTGCCCAGACCCTAAAACCGCACTGCGCAGTGACCGCGGGCAGTCACTGTGACACACCCCTGAGGAAGGCAGCCGCGGGAGCACAGGGTTTGACGTGGGTGCCTGAGGCTCCCGTCCTCGGACCCCGGCTCCTGGCTTTGGGCCTCCGTGAGGCAGAATTATCGCAGTGGAAGGGCAAGGAGTCAAGAGAGCCGCTGAGGAGGGGCCGGGGAGACGGAGCCCGCAGTTTTGCCCCACGAACGCGTCAGAGCTGGTGACCGCTTCCCAGCCCAGTTCCAAGCAAGGGGCCTTGGGCGCACCCCACACCGCGACCTGCAAGGTGCGCCCCCGCTGATCTCTTTCTGCAGACTCAGTGGCTCCCGGGGAGGCCGAGCCTCCAGGCCTGGTGGAACAAGGCTGCCACCACTGCTGCGTCCCGGGGAGCAAAGACCAGGCCCGTCCGCCCCTGCCAGCTGCTCCCCGCGCTCTTGTCCCGGCCACACCAGCCTCCCACCATGCCAAGGTCACCGTGGAAAGGCCAGTGAGGACAGGGCCAGGCCCAGAGAGACTGCTGTGGTCCACACATCCACATCACACAACAGGGCAGGAAGGGAGCTAATGAGCCCGGGCAGAGGAAGGTTGCTGGTTGCAAACCCTGCCAACAGCCATCAGAAAAATGGACTCCGGAAATCATTTATTTTAAAAAAGAAAGAAAAGGAGGAAAGGAAGCAGGCAGGCCAAGAGGAAGACCAGAACAGAACCTGGGAACCAGAGCATGTGTAGCCAGGCCCTGCAGTCCCAGGGTCCCAGGAAGGACCCGGGGCTGGGGAGCTGGGGCCTGCAGCCCAGGCGCTGGGGTGGAGACCAGGCCGGTGGAAGCCAGGTGGCTGGGGTCACCTGCGAGCCAGGGAGGGAGCAGCAGAGCTTCTGAGGCCTCTCCTGCTCCACCCTCCACAGTGCAGACTGTGCTGGCCACTGAAGGGAGCCCCGGGTGCCGCGTCCCTCTCCCGCCTTTTGTCCTTCCCCGTGCCCAGTGCGGGCGTTCTCCCTGCCTGCCCTCAGGAAGCAGGACGCTGGAGTAGCACAGGACTCGGTTGTGGGGCTCCCAGGGCCGTCTTCACAGATCAGGTCCGTGTTATCCTTCAGGGTGATTCTTCTTTTCACCCCCAGACCCTGGACCTCCGCAGGATGAGAGGTCCCCATGGCCCGAGGTCCTGCCTCCCACCTGACACTGTACTTCACACACCCACCCCGCCATGCGGGCAACGTGAGGCCAGCTGATACGGCACAGCAGACGCTGAGTCCACACAGGCTCACCTGCCGCTGGGCTTTAACCACCCCATGGGGTTGTTAAACCAACCCAGGGCTTCACACAGCCACAGCTACAATCCATTTGCTTATTTCTCATTCTGAGGCAGGGTCTCACCAACCCGTTGAGTTGCCCTGGCTGGACTCCAACTTGCAATCCTCCTGCCTCAGCCTCCCAGAGTGCTGGGTTCACCGGCGTGCACCACTGCGCCTGCTACATAATTCAGTTATATATGTGAACTTTACACATAACTCAGGACTCAAACTATCAGCCACCCACCCTCTCCGGCATCTGGCTGCAGTACGCTTGACACACACCGCTGAACTACCAAGCCCCGCGCTGCGATGTGGTCCCTGTCTGCCTGGCCCTCGCCGCCCCCTGCTGGCAACGTCAGTACAGTTGGCACCAACCAACAGGGCTGGGGCCCAGGACCCGGTAAGGGACAGAGGGACATCAGGCCAGAGTCGCCAGGTGGCACCGCCAGGGTGACAGGCAGGCGGGGACCAGGCTTGGAGAAGAGGCCTCTCCCCTCCCCCTGACCGCTGTGTGACCTGGGCGGGCTGCTGCGGGGGAAGTTACAACCCTCTCATCGCCTGGAGGTTGTAAAATCATCTGGTGGCAATTAGAGCCCCAACAGGTCCCCTGGTCTTTATCACCTGAATCCTGGGATGTTATTTGAAGGGATCATAAAAGAGCGGGGTGCGGTGTAGACCAGGAAGACGAGAAGGGATGGCTGCTGACCTGGAGGCATCCAGCCCCACACAGCAGGTGTGCTGACCCCTGCAGAAGAGGCAGGCGAGAGGCCCTGCCCCCCAGCGCTGCTCCCCAGCATCGGGGAGCACAGACCAGACAGCCCACGCCCACAGTCAGGGACGTGGAGGGACATGGGCAGGAGGTGCTGCCGGGCACCTTGGCCGGAGTCTTGGAGCCTGAGGCCCTGAGGGGAGCAGAGCCTCGCTGTCCCCAGCCCCAGGTCCCCAAGGTCTACAGGACAGAAGCGAGACTCTCATGGGGACCCCTGAGCTCCCGACCCCCAGGATCCACCCACAGAACCCTGGGGCTCAGGTGTGAGTCTAATGGGTTCCTTATCACCCCACCTGGGGCGGAGGCTGGGGCAGGAGAGTCTCTGCTCCTGCACCACATGGCTCTGGTCACAGCAAGGAATATCCCTGGCAGAGGGCAGCCAGCCAAATAGGGGAATCTTTGAAAGAAGAGAGTGGGCCCCTTTGCCTATCTTCCTGAATGGCAGAAAAGAAGGACAGCTCGGAAATGGGGTGACCAGCTGAAGAGGAGCAGGCACCCGCCTTCAGGACCATGCAGAGCAGCTTCTGTGGACACCAGCCCGGCAGAGCTGATCCCTAAAGAAGAGACTTTGTTCCTTCGAGGTCAGCCCCAAAAGCGGGGCAGCCTGGGGTGAGGGGCAGCCTGGGGTGATGAACGCCTTGCAGAGGGCAGAGCGTGGGGTGAGGGAGCCGGCCTTAGCAGGAGGAGAGTTCAGGCCACCCAGGAACCACGGGGCTCTGCACAGCCCAGAGCACTGTCTGGAGGCAGAAAACCAGTGAGAGCCGTGAGCAAGAGAAAGTCCCTGTCCCTCGGGCCCTGTTCCAGCAGGAGGGAGAGACACAGACAGGAAGCATGCCAGGATGCCTGAGCGCGTGGAGGACCCAGGGCCAGCGGGCGAGGGGACAGGGCAGCAGGCGGCCAGGCCGGGTCCTTGGAGTCCAGGCCCTGGAGCTGCGACCAGCAACAGGAGGAGCTGCGGCCAGGGACCCAGACCTAGGCCTAACCCGGGCCTGAGCGAGGAACAGCCGCCAGGGTCCACAGCAGCTCCCAGCTCCTGGCCGGGTGCGATCACTGGGTGCAGCCCCCTTTTTGTTTATTAGTACTTGTGCCCAGTATGTGATGACCACACTTGTCGTGGGGTGTCGGTGCACGCACGAGCATCTGAGGCCTCGTTTCCTCACCCCTCCCTTCTCTCCCTGCTCCTTCCCACCCCGGTCCCCTTCTCACTGGCAAAACCCTGTTCCCATCATTGTCCCCCCACTTCTGGTTTTTAGTCCATCCCTTTCCCTCCCCTCATTCTCCCTCCATCTCTTGTTTGCCCACCCATTAGAAAAAGATCTGCCTGCTTCCTATTTATCCCCATCAGAGAGAGAGAGAGACAGGCAAATAGACAGACAGAGACAGAGAGACAAAGACAGAGACAGGGAAAGAGGGAAAGTCTCTCATACAGGAGAAACTGTGATATTTAAGTTTGTGTATCTGATTTATTTCACTAAGCATTGTATTCTCAAATTGCATCCATTTGCCTGTGAATGACTCAAGGTTATCCTTCCTTATGGCAGAGTAGTACTGTATTTGTATAAATGCCACATTTTCTCTATCCGTTCATCTGTTGATGGACGTGTAGGCTGCTTCCAAGATTGAGCTATTATAAACTGTGCTGCAGACATGGACATGCAGGTGCCACTGCAAACAAAGTCTTTAGCTTTGCGGGGAAGATACCCAGCAGGAGAGGAGCTGGATCAAATGGAATTTCTAGCTTTAGTTTTTTGAGGAATCTCCACACTGATTTCCGTAGTGGTCGTGCTAGTTTAAGCTCCACCAACAGTGCAGAACAGCCCCTTTCTGTGCTTCTTCTGAGATGTGTCTGTTCATTTCACTTGTTCATTTTTCCTGGGGATTTTATCTTGGGGGGTCTAATATTTTTAGTTCTTTACATATTCCAGATGTTAGTCCTCTGATAAATAGCTAGCAAAATATTTTTGTCATGCTGCAGGCTGTCTCTTCACCCTGTTTGTTTTCTCCTTTTCTGTGCAGAAGATTGTTAATTTGATATAACCCAATTTGCTTATTCTTGGTATTATTCCTTATGCCACTGAGATTCTGTTCAGAAAGCCTCTGCCTATGCAAGAGGTGAACTTATTTTATCTTCCATCAGACTAAGTGTTTGGGTTTTCTCATTTAGATCTCTGACCCATTTTGATTTTAGTTTAGTGAGATACATGGGTCTAATCTCAATCTTGTACATGTGGATATCCAATTTTCCCAGCGCCATTTATTAAAGAGGCTGTCTTTCCTCCAGTGTGTGTCTTCCGCCCCTTTTCCAAAGATCAAGTAGCTGAGTGTGCCTGGGGTTGTTTCTGGCTGGTCCGCTCCATTGATCCTCATGTCTGTTTTGTGCTGGTACTGTGCTATTTTAATTACTGAAGATTTGTGATATAACTTGAAATCGGGGATTGAGCTTCTGCCTTCTTTGCTCTTGTTGCCCAGGGATACTTTTGCTATTCTGGTTCTCTTCTGGTTCCATATGAATTTTATGATTATTTTCTCTCGATCTGTGAGGAACGCTGTTGGTATCTTGATCGGAATTTGTGTTAAATCTGTGTTTCAGTTTTGAAAGTATGGCCATTTTCACAGTACTGGTTCCGTGTATCCAAGAACAGGAGATAACTTTCCATTTTTTTAAAGGGGAAAGGTTTATTTAGCTCAGTCTGTAGAAGTTCAGTCCATAATCAGCTGCTTCCAAGGCAAGGTGGCTTGACAGAGGGGCAACACAGAAGAGAACCCGTTCATGGCAAGCGGAAGGCAGCAGAAGCAAGCAAGGAAAGGCTCTTCCCATTTTTGATGTGTCCTCCATCTCCTTTTCAGAGTACTGCAGTTTCCACTGTAGGTCTTTCACTTCCTTGGTTAGGTTAATTTCTTAGTATTTATTTATTCTTGAGGCTATTGTTAATGGTATTATTTTCTTAATTTTGTTCTCAATGAGTTCATTAGAGTTCTTCTCCTTCGACAGAATTGCCACTTACCAGTGAGCAGACACGTGGCACTGTGGGTCATGCTGGCACCTCATAAGCAGTCCCCACTGGGTCTTGCAGAGGGCCCTGAGGGAGAGGTTGCAAGTGTCCCCAGGGCATCAGTGAGAAACCCAGGGAGAGTTACAGACACTGCTAATGCTCCGTGGATGCCAACTATATGGCAGCCACTGTGCTGGGATGGATATGTGCAAGGTGTGAGTAAAGTGTCCCCCATATCCTGTGTCCCCACCCCACTGCCTGGAGCACACACCTGTCCTCGTGTGTTCTCAGTAGGGAACCATCAGCATGCCATGATGTGCATCCCCAAGGAAGGAAGCCACAGAGAGTCCTGCCATGACCACTCTGTTATGGCTCACACCTGGGTGTCCCCCAAAGCCTCATGAGCTCATCAGTGGGGCTTTTGGGAGTGACTGG